AAAAATTTTTGTCAAATTAGTTGGTGGTTTTTTTTTTTTTTTTTTTTTTTTTTGGCTTCCGCTGCAGCCCAGCACATGGCTGTTTTTTTTCGGACTACATGCAGGCAGAAGTTATTTTTATAATTTCCTCTTTAATAAAACAAAGTTTTAAAAATACAGATGAAGGTAATCATGATGTAATTCGGAACGTTTTGGAACACGAAATTCAAAAATGGAAATTTGACCAAAACCTTAAGATAAGATAAGATGAGATATTATATTCCTTTATTAATCCCGCAGTGGGGAAATTTGCATTGTTTATTTAATTAATTTACATTTACATTGTACAGAGGACAGAGCAGAACCAATATAAAAATCTATATATACAAAAAATACAAGTGAATATAGAAATACGAAAAGAAAGAGAAAATAAATCATAATAAATAATAAATTAATTTGTGAATTTCCACTCAAGTTAGTCTTGAGAGCTCCCAGACAGATCAAGACACAGTTCTTAAAAGATAAACAAATTATAAGATGAGCAAAGAGGAGAAATCCTCAGCAGGATCACTGTGTACAAGTAATTTTTTTAGCTGCCCCACTGTGATCATATTTTGATGAGGTACTCTTTTTGTTCAGTTGTTTTCTTTTTTTATCTTTTTTTTTATCTGGTTCAGCTGAGCAGTGATGAATGGTCAGTTCCTTTCACTTAGGTTGTGCCCTCTGTAAGATGGTGCTTTTTGTGAAGTTGTACCAATTCAGGAAATAATCATTTCTCCAAATACCACCACATCTATAAAAAAAAAATGCATACACGACTTCTTCCTATTAATTTTGTTGTTTCATGTGTCCTGTCACGTTATTAAAATTGTTCAAGCATTAAATGTTTGGAGGCGTGGCCAGCATGGACTGAACAGCTTCCTTCACTTCCTCTGCTGCCATTTCAGACTGCAGTTCTAAAACAGCGCAGGAAATCGACATCATTGTTCACAACGTCTCCTTCTGTTTGCTGATTGACCCGGTAAAAATAACAAATCCTAGAGACAATCAAAGTCAAGGGGAGAAAGCACACGGTGCTTTAAGTGAGAACTTTTTTTTGAGCGTAATCTCACTGGCCAGGCTAGAGGTCAGCTCATGATAATTGACAGGAAGTAGAAGTTGATGTTTGTGCACAAGAGTCGCATCTCTTGTGTACGTCAAGAGCGCCAACCAATGGCTATTTATACATCTTTTTCTTTAACTTTGCAAACCAAAACGGTCTCCACCACAAAGATCACAACAAAAGTGTCTCAAAATATTAAATCCAGAAATTCAT